CATACGATCGAATTTCCACCAAGCCGTTTAAGAGTGGAACCCAGAATTTTTCTTCCCGTGTGTTTTCACATGTTTTCGAGGTGGTGGAGTTTTGTTTGCTACAGAGCTTGGCAGGACCAGATGCGGCAAATCCAGAAAGAGCTTGGCATCGAAAAGGAGCTTTTCATCGAAGATGCGGTGCTGAGTCAAAACCTGGAGTCCCAACCCCATGTTGCTTGACCTTCCGTATAGGTCAACCAAGGTAGAAAGAACATGTTTGCTTCACCCCCCTACATACCCATACCCGGGTGTCAGAGAAAAAAAGGTCAAGTGGTAGCATCACGGGGAGCATCGGGTATGCCGCCCAGTCGTGCACATCTCCTGGTGCCATTCAAGACGTTCGGTCCTGCGGCAGAGTGGAATATTTCCCGACGATGACTCGTGAAGAGCTTGGATTTCAAGGAGTTTTGACATGTTTTGACACTCAAGGAAAGCACAAAACTCTTATATACTTTGTTTGGGAACAAGATTATGTGGTGCACCTGTTGCTTCGAAATCAAGCACCCAACAGTTTTTAGTGAGGTTTTACATCTCAAGACGACATCCTGTTTGGATCTCCATGACCAAACGAGCATCCCCTTGGACGACGGTTCGTTCGTTTGAGGATCGCATTTCGGTCAACTTCAGGATGAGAAACAGGCCCTGACCACGCAATTCAAAGAGGCCATCCAAGACAAGGAGCAGGGCGCAGAGCGGTTGAAAGCGGCATATTTTTAAAACCTATTATGCTGCTTTGCTTGTGTTTTAAAGATTTTTCAGCCCATCATTCTTTTGTGCTTCGTCCGCCATGCTGGTTTGCTCGTCCAATTCTTGCGACATGTTGATGATGCAAACGGATTTTTGCTGTTGCAAGTGGCCATGACCCACGACTTAAGAAACACCATTGTCACTATTGGGCAAAAGTCTGCACAAAAACACATCCAGTCGTGAGCTGCTTCATTCACGGGGATGGTTCTAGCCGCTAAATACATGTCGTGGACATTTTTTGTTGGTAGTACAGTTGGTAGATGCACAGGTGGGGTCTCCTGTCTGAAACCTGCCCACCAACCCTGACCAACTGGGCTGTAACAAACTGGTGGTCGGCGCTGGGTGGCAGAAGCGAGCGGACCAAGCCTCTCAGGAGGTCCCGGAAGAGGTCCAAAAGGCCCTGAGATCTGTTGCAGATTGGGTGAAAATCGCCCACAGGAGGCGAAAAGACCACCTCTCAAGGTTTTCATTCTTGAATTTTTCGTTTGCTTCTCCATTTGCTTTGACTACACATTGATGATGGTTAGTGATGGAACACCAAATGCTCAGCTATGTCGTGAGCATGGAGAATTCAACGGATGTCATTGGGTTGGTTTGCGGGACAGCAGGGTTGTAATGACATGACTGAGACCCTGCAGACTTTAACCCGCTGGGGTTCGTCCACTAAATGTACGTTCTCATCCCTGGTGAATGTTCAGACCTGAGCTCTTTTTTAATCCAAGCCACTATTCGTATGCACAATCTCATCTTCCTCCCCCCCAAAAAGCTCTTTGATCCAAGATGTTGAGCCCCTTTGCTACGACCCAGTTCAGCTTCCCTTCCTCAGCTTCCGCCTTGGACCTCGATGCAGTGAACCCCCGCCCCTCCCCTCCGTCCGTCTGGCGCACCGACGCACCGGGACGAGATCATCGACTCGGAGATCGCCAAGTTGAACTCTTTGGAACCGTCGTCTCCGGAGTTCAACGTGTGTGACATGGATGGAGGGATGGGAGTGGGATGGGGGGAGAGGAGGGCAGAAAGAGAAGGGGGGAGTCTTTCTGCGCCTGATTTTCAGGGAGAGTGCCTTTCTGAAAAAAACGGAGTGGAGAGACAGATGGGAGTTTTTGGGTTGGGAGTGGAGAGATGGGAGATGGAAAGCGGCGGGTTCTTGGCAAGGTTTGATCCATCCCCAAGTCACAAGGACAGCCGAATATGCAGCGCAAACAGCAAGGGAGTCACGGGAGTATGGTCTTCCAGCAGTCCAACGACGCAAGATGTGGTTGGCGTCTTTGCTCAACAGTACGATACAAGCTGACGATGTGGTTGACTACGAAAACGCAGAGCGATCCCAACAAGTTGGGCCAGGTGATGGGACAGGCGAACAGCTGTGAAAAGGCCCAAGTAGGCCTGAATGTCTCTCAAAACCCCTGTGTAGCAGACTCTTTCTGGCAGTCTGGAGTCGCAGGCCGACCGTCGGCCTGCGACTCCAGGTCCGTCCGACTGGGTGTCTACTGGGTGTCGTAGACTTGCTGTGAAGCGTGGTACGAGGCCGCACGTACCTGGAGTGGCTCACATGTTTGCCCTGGGGTCTGGGACTCAGTGGACGCCCGGGAAGTTTCTGGAGATTGCTGCGGTGCACCTCCTGACATGTGCCACCCCAGCCGCCCGCCATGTTGGGCGTCAACTCAACAGAGCCTAAGAGAGCCATGGGACAGACAGGTCCTGTTGATATTTGGCCGGAAGTATGGTTTCTGGATGGTCCAACGTGGTGCAGGAGACTTTGTTTTGTTCAACTGTAGAACAAGCCCTGACCTCCATGGCTGATATGTCCATGTCATACCAGACAAGACACTAAGACACTAAGACACTGTATCAGTCTTGTCCTTTTGAGGTGAATTCACCGCTGAGAACCGTGACATCAAGCACGCCGAAACGGTCCTGGATGAGGAGAGGACCACATGATGAGCCTGCCCCACAGCCAGGTGTGGGAGCGCTTCAGTTCACAAGCACAATGGATCGATCAGGCATCATGGATCCATCAGGGACAGTCTCTTATCTTCTCCACCCAACTGGGGTGAAGTCTATGATTTTTGCGGGTTTCCTGGGCTAGAGAGCCTTGTCTTCGTCCGCGGGATGGATGAGCACGTTATTTGGACTGTGGCCACAGCGCATTGCACAGCCCCGCATTGAACCACCCTCCGTTCACCCTGTCGTTCACCCTCCGAACCGTCTTCAAAAGATGGGTCGTCCTCCTCGTAGGGTTGACTTCCGGGTCGACGGCGGCACGGCAGCTCGATCGCTTGGGAGGATCACTATGGCCTGGAGGATGTGAAGGAGCGAATCCTCGAACACATTGCGGTGAGCTTCCTCAAGGAGAGGGGAATGTGTTCGAAGTCCAGTCACGGGGTCAGCAAGTCCTCGAACAACCGACTCCCAGAACAAGCGGGTTTTGTTTTTGACTCAAAGCTCCAACCTGGAAACGGTTTTTTTGGGACCAACGCTGTAGGGACTGTAGGGCTGTGTTGGTGCAACGCCGAACGTTCACAACACTCACAAGGGGCTAAGGGACGGGCTGTTGCGTCGGGTTCCAAGGACAACACCCCACGTTTTTCGGTGTTAAGATCACCGATGTCGAAGAAAATCCTCCCAGTCATCGTGCTTCTGTATGAAAGACTCGATTATGTGATGAGTTTTGCGACACTTACAAGCTTGCAATCACAATTCTCAGATTTCTCAGCTGGTAAATGTAGCTCCGACCCGTTGGGAGCCGTTGTGATGTTGCTCGGAGGACTCCACTCAGGGCAAGATCATGTGTCGATGCCTTAGATCTCATGGATGACGAATGCCCTTCGTAGGTTTTGGACCCCAAAGGGAAGCAGAGTTTGGCTCGTAACTCCCTCTCCAAGGCTCCCTACTTGTGTGCAGGAAGCAAAGTTCACGAGGCTTCATCTCACGCAGGATCAGAGGACCGGACTCTCTTTTTTCCCTATTTGTGATATACCAGCCTTTGTGGCCATGTGAAACAACAAGAACCAGTTTGCAAAAAAATATGCATCTCGAAGATAGTACTTTTCTCAAGCACATCTGCCAATATGGCTATCAAAGGCTCACCATGTGGAGAAGAGCAGATGCTTAGACTCGGTTAGACATCCACAGTGAATGTGGTCACGTTGAATTCACGTCCGTTTCCCAACCCTAAAAATCTAGTTCACTACATGAATAGGATGTGGGTGAGCTTTCCCACCGGTTACTGCAGTTACTGCAGTTCGAGTTCGGTATTTACTTCCTGTTGGTAGTACTTCCCTCCTACTACTTGCTACTGACTGAAGCTACGTCACGGCCCTACCTCCCCCCTACCTCTCCCCAAGCGCTGCAGGCCTGGTTGGGCCTCCGGGAGTCGGCAAGACGTCCGTGGGCAAAAGCGTGGCGCGGGCGCTGGGCCGAAAGCAGGGCGACTCAGGGCGACTGGAGCAGCGACTGGAGCAGTGAGATGCAGTGAGTCAGTTGGTTCGTTTTGAGTTGACTTGAACATCCCAAGTTGGCCAGTGATACCTTTGGACCCAAAAATACACAAAAACACACAAAGACCTGGGCGGGAGAAGATTTTTTGTCAGACTTAGGGACTGACCGACCGACCGACTATAGGACGTCGAATGGGACGATGCGTCCATTCGACTGGGTCTGCATTGGGCGTTTTCGCCCGTTCGATGTAAGAGATCGAACGTCATTTTCGTGTGTTTTTTTTGTGGAGCATGAGGACATCGTAGCAGCATAGCATGTCTGAACATGAGCTGCGGATATCGGATATGAATTGCCCTTTTGGCTCATCGTCTCATCATCTTGGATCTCCCAGTGTGAAGTGACAGTTGTTGAGCTCCAATAACAACTTCTCATGGAAGCATTTTTGATTGAGCTATATAATATAAATAGGGCCTGACAGGGGTCAGAACCAGTTCCGTGCAGATGATTGAGAAGTTGGAGTCAGAGCATGCCGCTTGAATGTCACGTGGCACTACGAACGAAACAGCTGAAACAACTTGGACAATACACAAGTCATTGGAGGAGTCTGACTGGTGCCACATTCTTACCACAAGCTTCGAGAGCGAGCTTCGTCTCCCTCTCATACCGGTTTTTGGGGTGCCGGGCAACCACCAGCGGAGTCCTTCCGCCGCGGGCCGCGGTGCCCACGCGGTGCCCGTGGTGGTGGGGCGTTGGATGGCACGAGAGCCTTCTCCATGACCGAAGAGTCCGTCTTAGGGGACTTGCAGAGATTGGTGAGCTACGAGGGTCCAGAGGACCGGCGAGAAAGACCCCCCAAAAAGGTGGGGAATCGCCGGTCTGCTTTTTGGAGTCGCCGCGGTCTGTGTGGGACACCTGGGAGGTTTTGTAGGGATTTCCCGAGTTGGGAAGCGAATTTGCTTTCGAGTCCTTGAGTTGGGGAAGAATTGGGGCTCCCAGGCAGCAGCCTGATAATCTTATATAGTCAGGTGTTCAAGCCACGTTTGCGGATGCTGACATCATTTGGCCCTGACAGCCTCCTGCAACTCCTGCGTGCAAGAATTTGAGGCCTAATCTCAAGTCAAGCCATTGCTGGTGTTTTCAGTGATGTTTCAGATTCCACGCTCATAACGGTAACAACATTTTACCTACCATGATATCTCAACACAAGACGCACGTGCCACCTGCCACGTCAAAATCGACTGAAAAGGGCACTTCTTGAACCGTGACGACTTCTTGCAGGAACCCTTGGCAGAACACTTGGCATTCCATGAAAGCAACACACAGTGTCTCGGCACACATGTCCACGAAGGGTTGGATCTGGGAACCAGCATGCAGATCCACACAAACTACAACCAATGGGCCCTATGACTATGACATGACTATGTATTCCAATTTCATTTCTACCTGGAGAGTTGGGCCGTTGGGATGAGTAGGGTCGACTGGGGATTTTCAAGGTCGACTGGGCAGTTCGCAGAATTGCGGAGCTTTTCCAGGTTAGTGTTCCATGGCCCCAAGTCATGCTGCATCTATGCCAATTTGGTGACAACCCTGCCAGAGTTTTTGGCAAGTGGCTGAGCTTTCCAGTCCTTCTTTCCCTGCTTTCTCTGCTGACGCCCCAGGCCTTGCGCCAGTGCTTTTTTGGGGCATAGCATAGCAGTCAGGGCGATCTGGTAGTCCGCTAGGAGAGTGGGGATGTGGGTTCCTAGAGGCCTCCGAAATGTGAGTGCTTTTGAGCTTGTGTAACCTTTGGAATCATAGGGAACCTTTGGCTTTTTAAACTTGCATGGGGGACACAGCATTTCACTGGGCCTGTGTCCAACGAAGCTACCGGCGAAATGGGATATCCAGCTTGGCCAGCTGGGTGTACCTGCCTTTTAAAGCAAGTCCTCCTCTAGACCTCAGGCTGGTTAGGTCTGCAGGCTTTGCACGTGCCTACGAAAACGGTCTTCGAATCCGAGCCTTTGGAAGTTAGTGAGTGGCTTACATACTCTTGAAACCTTTGAGACTCCGAAGATGATGAGACCGGCCTGCACTTTACCTGGTACAAGCTGGTGTACTTGGGGTCTCTTTCCCTGAGGCTGCTTCAGTCGACCGCATCAAGAATCTTTATCCGACTTAAATCCTCAACCCCAACTCCTCCAAGACTCGAAAGGTGCCACGTTGGGGCTTGCAAGAGTGGATTTGGGTGACATTGATGTTCATGTGCTGATCGCCCATCAACATTGGGTGGTTTATTTTGCCTTCTCTCCGTCCACATGTGGCAGTGGACCAAAGATGACAAGAGGACCCATACCTTCGCGAAAGAGTCCACAAGCAGTTTCTATCAGCAGGGCAAAGTGAGGGCAGTTCCTCCTGTTCAATCCAACACTTCCTTTTAGATGCACATGGCCAAGGGCGGTCCAGCTGCTGCAGAAGTCCTTGCGCGGTGAGACGGAGATGGCCGAGATCCAAGCGCTGAGAGCTACAGCCCCTTGCCTCGAAGGATGGTCAGGGTGGATGGATCTTGGGTGTGTTCCATTGCCTGTAACAGCCGATTTTTGAGAAAGGCCAATTTCTTTTTGGTGCATTGGTATGGGGGGGGGAAAACTTGGCCATGGTAGCTTTACAGCAAGCTTCAAGATTCCAAGTGATCGGGTTTCGAGGACTCCCGGGGTCTCTGAAGCCTTTCGTTCGTCGAAGCACTCGGCTCGTCGATCCCCCACGCCACAGGTCCGGATCCTGGGAACTTTGGCAGGTGATGCCACAGGCGCGGCCAGCGGGCCCACCAGGTGTGGATGGCATGGCATCGTGTGGATGGCCGCATCCGGTATCCTGGTTTTGCGCGATGGATGCTTCCTTTTGGGAGGAATTCTGGAGTCTTCCTTGTAGTGACCGTCGTTGTTAGCGGCCTCTTCTTCGCTTCGCCGCAGGAAGGTCACGGTGCCATCGCGGCAGATGATTCTGTGCTGGGATCCCATCACCAGCCATCACCAGCCACTGCCCAAAGGGCTGTTTCAATGAGAGGATCTTGACAGCTTGCACCAAGGCGTCATGGACAACACATGAAAAAGACCGGTGCTGGTTCGGATCCCACAAAACCAGCTATATAACAAAAGAGGAGTGGCCACGGGGAGTGGATTCCACTGCATCCAAGGCTTTCTAGCCACATCTCTTCACACCTTGTTGTTGCACACATCAAGGTGTCGACCGATTAGAGAGATCCGACCCCATCCTGCAGCCATTCTTTGCTTTGCGTTTTGACAAACGACAAACCTCCCTGAAAATGATGCTCAGCATACAGTACTCTACTGTTTTCCTTTTCAGCATTCTTTCCGACCTGCATTCTTGCAAAGCACATCAAGATTATCAATGGTTCTTTTGTTGGCTGACTGGCTGCTTGGGTACTCTATTTTGCTGGCGAGCAGGTTGGGTGGTTGATTCGTTGAGCTTGGCGAATTGCTTGCTTGTTTGGCTGGCAGATTTGCTTTCCTCCTCTTCTTTCATCCCAAATCCCGCTCTATCAGCCCCGAACCGCGAGGCGACACCGTACCGGATGTGAGCTCCTCGGGGTCTCCGTTGGCACAAGCGCTTCGCTGCGAGGTGGGGGCAGAGAAGGTCCAAAGATTCCAGACGTTTTGGGTGCGAAGTCGTTTGCGAAAGGAGGGAGAGATCCACCTATATACTTCTGGCAGAACTACTTGGGTCACCAAGAAGGGATGGATGCAGTCGCCAGCGCTGAATGGGTCCTCAGATCGGAGTGGGGAGTTTGTGGTGACAACTTGGATGATGTTCGTTGCGGTTGAAGCAAAGCTTCACACCACCCAGACATACCCAGAACTCGAAACACACCCATACTCATCCGTGCAACTCTTCTGCAGGTATCCATACCCTCGGGATCCAAGTATCTTCTGTCTCCAATCACCTTCTGAGGAGGTACTTGGATCCCTGGGGTTATTTCAGGTGTTTCGGATGGATTGGTTCCGAGAACTCCGAAACCGCCGCTGTTGAACCTATTGAACGACCTCTTGCTTGACCGGTCCAGGGGCTCACGGGAGCCGTCTTGGAGCTGCTGCAACGGTGGAAGAGCCCAAAGGAGGTGGGGCAGGTGGGGCAGGTGGCAGGAGGCGGTTTTTGTCGGGGCCCCAAGGCTGGAAAGAGATTCTAGGCGTCGAACCGGGGTCGGGTCGAAGCGGTCTGAGCTGAATCCCCCCCCCAAAATGTCGAGTTACATCCAGGATCATCCAGGTGGAGACTTCCCAAATCCGTCGGTTCCTTCTGCCACTTCGACGTCGGTCACGCTTTCCATCGAGACAACGACTGGCGCGTCCCATCGCGCGTGGTCGCGCGTCCAAGCGGAGGAGCGGCCCTGGCTGTTGCTGGAAGGGCTCCGTGCCTTGCGGCTGCTGCTGGTACTACCCCTATCGGCCAAGAGCGAACATCGTGCGGGGAAGAGGAATACGGTATGGGGGCCCAGAGTGTTTGGAGTGTTTGGAGGGAGAGCTAGGAGAAAACTAGCGTGCAGCCATTTCATCATCGCAATCGTCGGTGATCCTCCTGAAGGAATGATTGCCGTGCAAACGTGCAGCAATAGAAGATGTAAAACGGAGATGTAAAACATGTCAGACCTGTAGGGATTGGCACTTCGCCCATGTCCCGCCCTTTTTTAACATTTATCCAATGGGCGTTAGCCGCCCCACCGACGCCCCCTTTTGGGCCGCTAAATCGAACCGAAAGAGGAGAGACTGGCTGGTCGATGGTCATCTCCAGCATGGTCAAGCAATCACGGCAGCATGGTCAACTCGAAGCATGGTCCAAGCGAAACCCCGGGCGCAACCCAGCCTTCACCCATCGAATTCTGCGAGGACGCCGGAGAAGCTCAGCCCACCAACCGTCGAAACGCCGGTGAGAGAAGCTGCGCCCAAAGTCGCAGCCTTCGGTAGGCGCTGCATTGCCTCAGAACACTGTAGGCCTAGGTCAGGGTCCACCGACATTGAGCTGCGCTTAGTCAACGCACAGCAAGGAGAAGCAGAAGTAAGAATCAGCGACACACCCTCGACTCTCTCAGCGCCATCAACCCGGTCAGCCCAGTCGGAACCTGAGGATCTAAGGTCATTAAGGTCCAGTGTTGATCCTTGAGAAAACAACATTTGGTAAGAGGTGTCTGCTGCCCGCAAGTATACTTTGCCCACCCAAACTGGCACCTTAGCTCTTCCCTTGCACGACCAGTGCTCAGCCACTGCTCAGCCACTGGCACGGTCGGAAAAGTTCCTTCTGTGAAAGTTGATGTTCAGCGGTGTCTAGTGGCATGTTCGGTGTTAACTGCAGCTTGATCAAGCGCACGCAGCAAAAAGCAGCGCTTTTCGCATTCAGCTTTTACTTAGAGCCCAATTCATCTCCGCATTGGTAGCGGAGCCTACCGAATACCGGTGGGCAGGTGCTGTGCCGCACCTAGGGTCAGGGATGGAAACGACGGCCGACACCATCCCTGTTCCCTCATGGGACGGAGCTGAGACTCCTGGTGGCCGAGCCACCCCGCCAGCGGCGGAGCCGGAGGGCGGCGCCCCGACCCGTGGCCGAGCCACGGAACAACACGGCAGAGACCGTGCAGAACGTGGACGCTCCACGCATCGAGGTCGAGGCCGCGGACGAGCACGCCCTGAACTACCACGACCAGCACACTCCCCAGGACACAAAGGAAAAGGTCATGGAGGGAAGAGTTCAAAGGGCAAAGACAAAGGCGCTGGAGCTGGACGAGGCCGACATCCCTACACCATGGACGATGCCTACGAGGTGCTCGATGAAGGCCAATGGAACCAGATCTTCGGACAATGGTCTGCAGTTGCTGGATGGTCAAGTCAGGTGCCTGGCTGGTACCAATCGCCTCAAACGGGCATTTGGATGTTCTGGACCGGAGCTCAATGGTTGTCCTATGAGCCATCAACCATGGATGGATCATGGCACCTTCCTCGACGAGAAGCTGAACAAGCAAAAGGCCGAGAGAAAGGCCCTCCTCCCTCGACTGCATCGACTTTGGAGCACCCGTCACAACACCGTTCAGTAGGTGTTCCACTTCCCGAAGGACATGGGCTTCGTGCCAAGGCAGCTCCAAAGGAAGCAGCAAAGAAGGAGAAGAAAGACAAGAAGGAAGCCAAGGACAAGAAGGATGGCAGGGACAAGTCAGACCGCAGCGCCAAGGACAAGAAGAAGGATAGGAAAGAACAGCCGAAGGAGCAGAGGACAAAGACGCCACCTCCACCTTCAGCTGCTGAGAAGGGGGAGAAAGGCGACAAGAAGGAAAAGAAGGATAAGAAGGAGAAGAAGGAACGTCATGAAGATGATCCTCGTCCATCTGGCCGTGACGACTCACAGACTCCTTCGAAGAAGTCCAAGGCAGCGCCTCCGAATCCTGATCCGCCTGGCGAAGATGATGATGAGGAGGAGTACTCCGAGTACACCTACGAGGAGCAGGAAGAGAGTGAAGAGTCAGAAGGATTCGAAGAAGATCCGCCGGTGACACCATCCAACCTCACTGACGACAGCCGTGGCCCGAGGCAGTATCAGAGGAACCCTCGTGACCCACGTCTCCGACCACCACCTGGTCCGCCGTCTTCGGATCCGACTTCGTCCAACGTGACATCAACTCCGGCTGCTTCGAATCGCACATCATCAAATCGCACACCATCCAGAGCATCAGGTTCGAGTGCATCTACGGCTTCCACAGGTGAGATCCGTGCCCTCCTGGGCCAACAGGCGAAGAAGCAGCAAGACAGGTCGAAGCCTTCGCTCAGTCAAGTCCGCCTGGAAATGTTCAGGGGTTCAAGATCCCACTTCAAAGAGTGGAAGCGCACCATTGAGGCCCAGCAGGCGCTGTACAGGTTGGATGAGGCCGAATTGGCCATGTTAATTTATCTTTCATGCCAGGGAGAGCCGCGTCAAATCCTGAATCAACTTCAAGTCTCCGAGATGAGGGAGCCAGGAGGACTCAACCGAGTCATGCGGCTACTTGAGGAGTCCTATGGTGCCAGATCTGACGAACGCTTCGAAGAGCGCCAGGAAGCTTATTTGACGTATCGCCGTGCACCAGGTCAGAGCGTCGCTTCCTACATCAGCACCTTGAAGAGACTTCGAACAGAGTATCTGGCAGAAGATACAGGCACCACGCTGTCGGACAAGAGTTTTGCCCAGAGAATGCTATCCCGTGCCTCCCTCACCAAGAAGGAGCGGATGGACATCTTCTACAGTGCTGGCGGCAAGTATGCATCCAATGCCATCGAGAAGGTTCTCAGGTTCAGATGCTCGAATGTCCATCTCGATGAGGCCAAGTACCGCCCTCAGGACAAGCACCATCATCCTCGCCGATGGAAGACTTCATCAACCTCCAAGTCAAATCGCCCGAAACCTCACCGATCCTCTCGAGCACATCTCGCCAATGTCAAGGAGGAGCCGGACTGGGACGATGACGAGGAGGGCATCCCGGAGGAAGAAGGTGATGATGAGGCCTACTACGAGAACGAAGACGATGAGGCTGACAATGAAGACTTGGAGCAGGAGGCCTACCAGCAGGATCACTACTGGGATGACGAAGATGAAGAAGGCGACTGGGATTGGGATGATGATGGCACGGACTTGAGAGAAGCCTATGCGGCAGGATGGCGTGCCAAGCAGAAGTCCGCTGAAGCTCGCAAAGCACGTGGCTATAGCGATGCCAAGTCCAAGGGCAAGGGCAAAAAGGGCAAGAAGGGTGGTGGCAGATTCGTAGAATACCGCGCGAAGGACCAGCGAAAGGCCAAGTCCAAGTGTGCATCATGCAAACAGATTGGACACTGGCATGGTGACCCTGAGTGTCCAAATGTGAAGAATGGGACTGACCCTCCACGAGATGATCCCGCAAAGTCGCAGGTCAACTTCACCACCGACACTTCGCCTACGGCACGTGGCAGCGGCGCAAGGACCAAAGAAGAGGTCAAGCAGGAGGAGGATGACGGCAACAGGCACACTTGGAGCACCAAGGGACTCAATGTGCACAAGGTGAACTGGACATTTATGGAAGGTTGGCAGCGCATCAAGGCCTATTCTTCGGACTCCAGTTCAGCCGTCTCTTCACCCAGCAGCAGTTCAGAGCCAGAAGAACCTCTTGGATTCAGTGCCGGCAAATCGTCAGAAGAAGCATCTGCTCAGAAGAAGGCTTCCAAATATAAAGCAGCTCTTCGCACAGTGGTTTCCGCTTTGGCAGAAGAAGTTGATGAGTCTGATCTCAAGTTGAAGAAGAAGCTGTTGAAGAAGCAAGAGCAGTTGCAAGAGAAGGAGAAAGAGCTGGCAAAAGCAAAGAGCAAAGCAAAAGGATCGAAGCCCGTGGCAATGGAGACCGACCTCGCACCGGCCGATATGCTGGAGATCCTCCCGTACATGTCAAAGGAAGAGAAGAGGAAGCTGTACAAGGAGCTGAAGGCAGAAAGAGATCGTGAAGCTGCACGATACTTGGACCAGCATCAGACGGCCGAGAAGTTGAAGAGATCAGACAAGCGGCATGATGGAGGCTATAAGGCAGCAAGCTCGTCGACCACCCCGGCACCAGAGCCAGCTTCGACAAGTGATCTCCCTGAGCCGGTTCGGCGCAAGCGTCTCAAGCAGTTCAGGAAAGATCTTTATGATGGTGCCTTGGATCGAAAAGGGCGAGTCCGACCTTCAGAAGCATCAGAGCTGCCAACTCCAGAACAGGAGAAGTGCCCTCACTTGTGGCAGAACTTGAGGTGGGGCGCAAACGGTGCCGCTCATTGGGCTTCTTGCAAGGCTTGCAAGTTGAAGAAGGTGCTCTATTACAGCATGGACCATGGTGCACTCACCGCCGAGACGGTCTTGGAGGAGGATCCCATGGATGTTTGGATGCTGGAGCACGCGGCCCATAAAGTGATCTTGGACAGTGGATGCCGCACTGCAGTCGCTGGTGCAAAGTGGCATGTCAAGATGCGCCAGGCCCTGGACCAGCGCGATCTTCCCTATGAGGTGCTGGAGCATGAGGAGACTTTTCGCTTCGGTGCTGGAGCTCCAGTTCTGTCAACGGAAGCTGGTCTCTATCCAGTGGTCTTGGGAGGAACTGGCATCCGATCGTGGTTGAGAGTTGCTGTGGTTGATGACACCAAGCAGGATCCCCGGATTTCAAATTGCCCGGCATTGGTTGGACCTTCTGAGCTGGCGCGCTGGAAAGTCACTATGGACTTCGCCAAGGGCATGACGGTGATCGATGGCTGCAGCACACCTACGGAGCTCTCACCAACTCGACACCCTGTTCTTGAGATTCTTGGAGATGGCAAGGCAGAGGATTGGAACACCTCCGAACTTCGAGAACTTCGAGCTGTCCTACGAGCAGATCCACACAAGTTGGCGCTTTGGCAGAGCCAAGATGAGCTTTCTCCCTCCAAGCAGGAGGTGGCATCTTCAGGCGACCAGATCTAGCTCTGTG